TCGAATTAAATTATATATTCGAATCAGTTCGAATCGAATCGAATCGAATCAAAGTACAATTCGATTCGATTCGAATTTCATTGATTCGTTCGGAGCCTTAAATTTTATTAGGGATTGTAATAATAATAGTGTAGTTCAAATAATGAGTTGATTTCTTGTATTGGGTGGGAAATAATTTGCAGAGTTAAAATAATTTTCTTGTTTTCTATTATTTGTATTACTGTATTAAATTTTCATACGTTACATTCACACATTACATGCTTTCTGTATTATCAAATGAAATACATATTACTTTCTTTTTTAACCTTGTCAAGTTTATTGTAATGTTTTCTTTTAAATCGTTGTCGTTTACTGTATTGATGTCATTGTGAGCCTTTGGATCATTACGAATTATATCATTTTTAAACCAAATATCATAACTGCCACCAAAACAAGTAATAAAGAACAACTGCATAAAATTATATATTATTAATGACAAAGTATTAATATCATTTCTGTTACTTATATTAAATATAAAGCTTACAATTGTACTTTTATATTCCAATAAAATGGACACGAGAGTTCTTTTTAACGAAATGCACATCACCTAAACCATCTATATTATTAAAGTTATGTACAGCTCCTACCAGATACCCAAATACAAATGGATTAATTAATTGTACATAATAATTACATCTTACAAGGTAATCTTTTGGTTAACATCAATTATTTAACAATGGATTAACTTTTGGGTTACTCTTATCAGCTAATCGCAAACTATACATTATAATTTGGTGCTTGTCAATTAATAAGTTTACCAATTTACTTTAGTTATTGCCTCCTGCTTCTTCCTTGTGCCTAGAAAGCTTTGGTGAATCTTTAGGCACGTTTAATGGACCAGACAAGTGTAAGAAAACAAACATGGCTTTTTTACAGAGCTCAAAGGTTTCTGTAAAGTCCCTTTATCTACTTGTGACTGATTTATTTCAGTCATTTACGCTTGTTTTTATTTATTTGACCGATTGTAAACTTGCTTTGGTTTATTTACAAACAACCTAAGCAGCTCGTTTAACAGCCTTCTTTTTACAATAATATTACCGGTCAACGGCAATTATTCACTAGCTGCTGTAGTTAACCAACATTAGCCCTAAACTTTCGCAAACAAATTACATTACTAATCGTTAGTTCTCACTAGCTAACCAATATCAGTACTAAACCTTTGCTTACTCACTAAAGCTGATAAAGCGTGGTTTTTACCAAAGCTTTGCAATTGTTGTCTTTTTATCAAGGAGCTGCACTTGATGCCTTTTATCAAAGCGTTTTAACGAAAAAGATAAAAACAATGGTTTTATTTTTAAAAATTCAATTTTAGGAATTTAACTTATTTATTATTTTATTAGATTGTTAATGTTGTACTTTGTCTTTTTACAATCGCAGAATTTTGATATCAATTTTTTGGGATAAATAACATAATAAGGATGAATAGAATGAATAAAAAAACTTTTTTTCAACAAACATCATTTTACGACTATAATAAAGTGTATTTCATTTCTTTATATGTTTTCAAACTTTTAACTACAAAAACTTCAAACCAAAAGTATATATATCACTATATTCTGGCATGGAGACTGTCCCAGATGTAAGATATTACATTTATTAGTTAAATCTTCTGAAAAGTTATTTAATTGGAAGGGTGTCTGTTGCCTTTGAAAAAGCCTTAACTATATATGGGTTTTATAATGGGTAATTTTAGCACAAAGTTTTTAGATAAGGGTTTTGATGTATTCTTTGGTAAAAGTAAGTATGGAAATAAAGGGACAGTTAACGGTAAGTGTAATTTGAAAATCTACATTATTATGAATATTTTACCAGGGTTCAAATTTTATGATGATTAAGAATCTTAATGGTTTTAAATAATAGAAAATGCACTTAATTTTTCAAGCATCAAAATTATATGTTCCTGATTTTAGAATGATAGCTGGTGAATAAATTACATATGGATATTTCAACTATGATAAAAGATAAAGGAGACGGTGGATTGAAAAAGAGGTTTCTGAAAATATCGGTATAGCAAGTAGAACAAATAAGTACTAAAAGATGGTCTTCACCAAATGTTAAAAATATAAAAAAGTTGACGGATTTAAATTCTCAGCACACAAATTTATTTCCAACATACTTTGTAACAAGTTTACGAATGAGAACGCAAAAGTGAGCTTTTTACATATCATGTGATATATATATTTATACAAACTTGTATTGTATTGCATGAAATTATTACTACTAGAGGTATTCCTTTCAGACCATAGAACTCAACCTTCTATATTCAGCTACGACGTCTTTATCTATTCCTATCTTCTAGCGACTAAAATCAAACGAAAAGAGATCCAAGAAATTCCGAGAAGGAGTCCTGTTCATTTTTTTTAATGCCTTGAAGTTTATTTTGATAAATTATCATTGTCTATTCTACTGTAAGAGATGCCTGTATAGACCTTTTCTCTACTTGAATTCTTGATGTAATTTTGTAAAAAAAAAAAAAAAAGAATTTTTTGGACGCGAATCAAAAAAAAATTTTTGTATTATTTTGTTTAAGAGTGTGAACCAAATGAAAGATTGGTTATATATGTGTTTGTTGTTAGATGGGCCATCTAAACAAAAATCATTGTCAAAAAAGTCAACCAAGTCTTTTTAAAACACGAAAAAAAAAAAATCCATTATTATGATTATTCTTGTTACAAATCTTTTCTACTGCCATTATAAAATAAACGAAGCAGGTTGGATTAAGCATAAAATAAAATAATAAATAATAATAAATAATAAATTGTAGTAATGATAAACAGGTCATCCATTACCTTTACCTCGTTCACTCTCTTCCTATTAACAACAAACTACGATTTTTTAATAAACTAAAAATGTGAAGGACTGGGAAAAATTAAGAACCTTTACCTAAAGAAATAAAAGCGGTCTGCAAAGTAGAGCAAAAGCAAAAGGTAACGTCAGCAAGAGATATTTCCTGTACGACCCAGAATTTGTATGACGGCACTTTTGATTTTTTATCTCGATGTACCGGATTTTTGGAATTGATGGTATCATCTTTAAGAATAATGATCAAAAACATCTTGATCCAAAAATAGGCTTGGATTACAACCTGTCCGTCATGATAATAATTTTGTTGTAACATTAACAAATTTAGGAATACGCTTGTCAAACATTCAAAAAGTGCATCTTCAGATTCAAATACAAAGCGATATTACCGAAGAGAAACAATTACTATTTCCAAACACTTTGGGCACTTGTTCCATCAGAACATTGATATTTCGCTGAGAGAAGCTAACTGAAATTTTTTCACAAGTGCATAAAGCAATTTGTCAATTTGCAATTTTTACAGGAAATGAAAAATATTTGTGAATGATCTTAATAAATAAAGCAACAACACTGCATTGGGAAAATATGGTGATTTTTCATTATAAGCACCATCTGATGCATTAATAAAATTTGCGGTCACCAATTAATATAGTGCGGATCATCTATACTCAAAAGTTAAAAAATTTGAAATGTTATGTGATTCATATGTTGGATTTTTAAAAATCACCACCATTCAATTCAGCTTTAAAAAGGGAGTAAATTCACATCAAAGAAAAATTGAGAGTTATGCAATAATAAATAATTTTCGCGTTACAATATTTTTAATTATATGACCAGATTTGGGAATGATTTTCTTTTGATGTAATATGTTTTTATATAAAAAAAGGAAATAAACAATACAAATAAATCAATATACACATCTAAACTCGATAAGTCAGACATTTATTTATATTATAAAGTACTTTAAACGATTGATTGCTGTTGCGTCCGACTTATCGAGTTTAGATGTGTGTATGTCATAAAAAAAATAAAACAATTTAAATGCTAAGGCCCTGCCAATTTTAGTTAAGAGAAAACTAACCGATAAGTTTTGAACAATAAAACTTATAGTTAAACTTTTTTAAAATTTTTTTTTAGTATTTTTGAAGCTGACCAATTAATTGATTATAGATGATCTGCATTTCAAAACCCGATTTGGAAAATAAATTTATTATTACTTATGTAATACGCGTATGAAAAAAATTAAATTAAATTGGTAAATCACAGTAATATTTGGTAATATTTGTATTAACAAAACAATCTCAAAAAATAATAACAACATTAAAAAGTGAAGACTCTAATTTAAAAAAAAAGCGAAACAGTAACTGATCCAATTGTTATTCAAGGTACATTTGAATTACAACAAGTTAGAACACGAAAACCACGAACGCAAAATGGAGGCTGAAAAAAGGCTTAAGCCAAGTATTAAAAATCTCTACAAAAAAATATTATCTTGGAATTTAAATTCTTCTGGCGATTTTCCTCCTAATATGGATAAAAGAAAATTCAAGAACATACCTGATACATTTAAATCTATTAAAGAATACTTGGATATATTTCAACCATTATTGATATTGGAATGTTGGCAGAGTTTCCTCAATGCAAAAGATGAAATGGATGAAAATGATTCATTTATTTTTGTTGTTGATAGTATCATGATGATATATGAATTCATAGAGATTTATGTAACTGTTCCAGAATCATCAATATCTAATGAATTGACATGGGGCGAAAATGATCTTTTATTAATGAGACAGTTAACATTATCAGATGAACAGGATAAATTGGAAAATAAAAACAAAGAATTCTTAACAATAATCAAAAATATAAATGGTGACAAAGTTACATTGTTAGCCTATTTAGCTAATGATCCCAAGGAAATTCAACGTGAGTTAATATCGTTAAGTAGATGGAAAGTCATAAAAGTATCAAGGTAAATTTTAATATTATGAAATTAGTCAGCCTTTGGGTTACATACATTCATAACTATATATATACGCATGTATAAATATTTGTAATAGTTTAACACCTGCTGTACGTGAATATTCTGCTTTAATTGGATTGCCATATTATCGTTGGCGTGATTTTATTTTGAATCCAAAAAAAATAACATCAACACTTAAAGTGCCAGCTGATAATATAAATAAATATATGGAAAATTACCATATTAATATATCACAAGCTGAGGCAGTCTGGAAGGTTGTAAGTCGGGAAGAGGGGATTACACTTATTCAAGGACCACCAGGAACAGGAAAGACCTCTACAATTGTTAGTATAGTTAGTGAATTAAGAAAATTTTCTACAAAGTTCAAATCTCGTGTTCTGGTTTGTGCTCCAAGCAATTCAGCAGTAGATGAATTGGAAAAACGATTTAAGCAGGGAGTATATAGTAAACAAACTAAAGTTCTTAGATTTGGAAGAAATGAAAGTTTTGAAAGGAGCGCGGACTCAGAATTAAGGTCGAGATTAAAGAAACTGGAAAATGAAATATTCCAAACAGAACAAAAAATTAATGAACCAATGAATGATGCTTGGCAATTTTCTACCTTGCAAGCAAAATCAAATCGTTTGAAAGCTGAGAAAAAATTCATCATCGATGAGTTGACAAAATTGACTACTACAAACAGTAGGTCAGAAAAATATGATATATATAGAACTTGGGCTAGTAAAGAAGATCTGTATGATGCAGATATTATATGTGCTACATTGGCTGGAAGTGGTCATGAAAGACTGTTGAATATGGCAAATGACTTTGAGACTGTGATAATAGATGAGGCGGCACAATCAATTGAATTGTCTAGTTTAATTCCATTAAAGTATAATCCTAAAAGATGTATAATTGTTGGAGATCCTAATCAATTGCCTCCAACAGTTCTTTCACAAAAAGCAACAGAATTCTCATACAATCAAAGTCTCTTTCTTAGATTTCAAAAACTTGTGCCTGAATGTGTACATCTTTTAAATACACAATATAGAATGCATCCTGATATAAGTAAATTTCCTAGTGACTTGTTCTATAATTCTGAACTAAAAGATGCAGACGGCTTATCCGAAAAAAAATTACAGCCATGGCATGGAAACAAATTTTTTGGTCCTTACAGATTCTTTGATATACAAGGCTCAATGGGATATGATAAAAGCTCAATATATAATAGAAAAGAAGCTCATACTATATTACAATTATATAGTACTTTGGTCAAAGAATATCCAGACATTGATGTAAACGCCCTCCTTATTTTGTTATTAGAACTATTTATAGATTTGTATTTAATATACCATTATTATTATCATCATTATTATTATTATTAAACAGTTTAAGGGAAAAGTAGGAATTATTTCTCCATACAAACGACAAGTATCTGAGCTCAAGAAACTTTTTAAATCAAAAATTCAACATATCTCATATTTATCAATAGATTTTAATACTGTTGTGAGTTTTTATTTTTAAAAAAATATATTCATCGACTCTGGATTTATTGAAATTAATAATGATTAATTTTTTCAATGAATTTTTTAGGATGGTTTTCAAGGGAAAGAAAAGGATATTATAATATTATCATGTGTTCGTGCTGGTGATGGTAATATCAAACTTCTATAATGAATGATAACATGATTGAAATACAAGTCAATACTGATGTCTTTTTTTATAATATAGCTAAAAGTATAGGGTTTTTACGAGACTTAAGAAGAATGAATGTTTCATTAACACGAGCCAAAAGCTCATTATTTATTATTGGAGATTCAAAGTCTTTAGAAACTAATGAAAACTGGAACAAACTAGTTTTAGACGCAAAGGAGAGAAATTTATTTACAAATGTATGTAATTGTTATTTTCATCTCTATATATTTTTGAAATAATTAATATTAATCGTCATGTTATCTAGTGTTCAGATACTGAATATTGTAACTTATTTGGTGTTAGTAATATTATGGTATGTATCAGTACACTATTTTTCATTATTGGCTAATTTAAAAAGATTCTGATTTCTTCTTTTTGGAATTTTTTTTTCCCCCATTTCCCATTGAAAAGACTAACCATAGAACAAATTATCATAACAACAAAAACAAAAACAACAATAAACGTAAATACATTAATGATAATAGTTGTAACAACAATTATAACAACAGAGACAGCCATAATTACGACTACAATAATAATAACTATTGTAAAAAGGATCGTGAAAAAATTAATGATGAATCTAATAATAATGATGGTAATAATATCCCAAAAAAAACCAGAATCAACTAAATCATTTATAGAAGACTATAGAAACACATATATTATAGATAGATTTCAAGTTGTAAATTTAAATTTTGTTGTATAATATAACAAGAAAAACATTTTATCACAATTAATGAATAATTGAACATGTTGTATTATCATTCCAAAATCTCAGTATTGTCTAGATTCCTTCATTCCAAGAATTTATTCTTTTTGTGAAAGATCCATTTGTTTTATATATATATATATAGCTACTTTGGAATTGGATGCATGGGATTTGGCAACACCAAGAATTGTCCAAGTGATTTAAGAGGACTCTGGAATAAGATGATTAGAATCCCATTTGTGATTATTCAACAAAAAAAAAGACACTCATTATTATTTGATTGGTATTAGTAGTTATTAGTGGTAAATTTCTTTTTTTGATGCAACTCGGTGAAAATTCTAAATATAACCAATCCCTTAACATGATCTTAATCCCTCTTCATAAATTAATTGTGATTGATTGCTTCTTTCAATTGCTTGAGCATTAAATTTTTTGAGCAACAATTAGAATTATTGATTCTAGACATGTATATCATTTTAGAAATAATGAAAGCAATTTTGGTACACATTTACAACTTGATTAATACTTTCACAATTTCTCAATCATATTATAATGAGAATGATTACGATGTTTTACTGTTTGATATGCTTCCATGATTATAAACAAAATACAAGAAAGGTTTCTTGAATGTTCTCAAATTAAAGCAATGAAAATTCTGGATCCAGTCGAATGGCAGATAAAGATTCTATTGAATATATAAATTATGGAATGATGAATTAAGTATTTTATGGAAACAAAAAGAAAGTTAATCAAGAAGTTTTTTTCCTCCGGTAAATGATGAATGTTTTGGAGTGTGTTATTTTAAAATTATAATTTTAAATAATTATGGCAGAAAATATATGCAGTCAATACTTCCTCTTCACCTGTAGATTGTGAAAGAGGATCGGTGTTCTCGTCAAAATGTAAGATGAGAAATTCATTAAATACCGAAACATTAGATATGTTGATGCGAGTATCTTTTGGAGGGTCCACCAAGTAAAGAATTTGATTTCAATAGAGTATATACTATCTGAAATTTATCGAGAAAAAGATATGGAGTACATGAATGCTATTGCTATTGTAAAATTTTGTCGGAAAAATGAAAATTCTGCCGGAAAAAAACCGTTTGCAAGAATCAATTAAAAATTAAAGTGATGCATATAGATCGTCAGAAATCATTTCTATATATGGAAAAGTGCATGATTGAAACAGGGAAAATTTAATAAACGCGGTGTTTTTTTTAAATATTTGCATGAATCAAATAAATCATGATATCAAATCTCGTCATTCTTAAATCATCAAAAAAAGAGTTTATCTTGAGCTTATTAAATTCATTAATCATTGTATTAAATATAAAAGTATAATACGTATGTTGTACAATTTTCTTTTCTCCAAATTATTTTTTTCTTGAAAGGATTAAAAAATTCTGCTTCCTCTAAAAATAATACCTTTCTCTGAAAAATGGAATATAACGATAATAGTGAATTATTATTGATATCAAGTCAAGACCCATTCTTTTCTTCATCTGCAACAATTGAATCTGATGACTTGTATTCACCAGAAATCAAATCAAATACTGATAACGTTGATAATCATTCTTCTCCCTCTTCCTCTCCCTCTTCATTGACATCGAGTTCCACAATACCCTCAGATTTCTTAGAATCTTTTCCGTCAACTCCAATTTCAGATTGCTCGTCATCATTGTACACTAGATTTTCCTCTTCATTACCTTGCTCCAATTCTTCCACTCCGCCCTTTACCGATTCAAAAGAGGAAGAGGAATTGAGCAGAATGATTATGTCTAAATATCTTCAATCAATTAATCAAAAATTATCACGGCCAAGTGACCGTATTATGGATATTATCAAAGTAGATTTTCCAAGAGACTTATCAATACCAATATTTTATCAATTACTTAGTCAGATGGATACAATTGGTGCACAAATGTTTAAACAATGCACAATTCTTAAATTTGTCAGTTTCACTGAATGGAACAATTGTCATTTTAATAATAACTTTGTTAGTAATAATTTCACTAGTAATACTAGCAATAACTTTAGCAACATGAATGAAAATTCCTATAGAAATAAAATGCATTTATGGGAATTGATGGATTGTATTAATAACAATGGTGGTAGAAATGGCAATTATGATAATAATTATTTAGAACATCAACATCAATTCGAAAATTCACTTCTAGAAACTTCCACTCCATCATCATCAAAATATATTAATTTAGAGATGATTGGATATGGGAGCTATTTGTCATGTCAGAGTGAATTGTTTTCAAAGATATTTTATCATATTTCATCATCAATATATTGTCCAATTAGGACAAACAAATATTTAACAAGAGTCACAATTCCAGTTCCATCAATTTCCACCATTGAACCAATAATCAATTGGTTGTATACTCATAATGATCAAAACTGGTTATTGACCATGAATGAAAATAACTTTGAAGAGGTAATTATTTATTTCTTTTGTGGATCGTGGAAGATTTTTTTTTTTTTTACACAAATTAACTAAACTTTTCTACCAAAAAAAATTTTAATTAGGTTTGTAAGAATGTCATTTTTCTTGAGTTAGGAGACGAGGCATTGAAAGTATTAGAGATTTTTCTAAGTGGAAATATTAATCTTAATACGAAATAATTTGATGATGATGATAATAGACTAATATAAAAATATAAGCTCGTTTTTTAATATGTTAGTTAATCAACGAATTTAAAAAAAAAACCACAAAATCGTGTAACATTGACATCTCTTCCAGCAATAATAATAAATTATTATTCTAAAATGTCTTCTTTTTCGATAATTAATGAGTTCATATCAAATCATCCATTGATTGATAATCATTGCCATAATCTTTTAAAAGATTACTCGGATGATTTCTCATTGGTGAGATGTTTTACAGAAGCTAACTATAATGACAAAATTCGATTGAAGGATACTGTGATTGAAACTTTATCTTTTAAGCGGGGGATTAAGCAATTGCTTAACCTATTAAATATCAATGATTTTGTTATTGACGATCTGAATTCCATCAATAAATTAGAATCATTGATAAGGAGTCGATTTAAGTTTCAAAAATTATGTGAAATCTATTTTAATTCAATTAACATCCAATGTTTATTGCTTGATGATGGAATTTCTAATCTGGTCATTGATAAGCTGGAATCATTAGATTTTCATTCAAAATATGTAGAGGATATACGAAGAATAGTTAGAATTGAGTCTATATCTGAGCAAATTTTAAATGAATTGTCATCACTACCTTCACAGCAACAAATCACTAAAACATTCTTGGAAAAATTCAACAATGAAATAAGTCAATTATGCAAATCTAATAAAGTAATTGCATTCAAAAGTATTTCAGCTTATCGTACTGGATTAAATATTCAATTATTTGATATTGATAACAACAACAATAATGGAGATTCAATTAAGGTGGAAGATAGTTTTAAAGAATATATTACAAATATTAAAAACTCATCTTTGAAAAAATTAAATAATAAAATCTTGATTGATTTTATCATAAATGAAACTTTTAAAATTGCAATTAAATATGATTTACCAATTCAATTTCACACTGGTAAGTAAACTTTTATTTTATTTCTTTTGTTGGAATTTTCTTGAAAAGAAATTTTTTTTAATTATTTAAAAAAAATTTTTTTTAAAATTATAGGATTTGGTGACAATGATCTTGATCTATTATTGGCAAATCCTCTTCATCTTCGTCCTTTAATTGAGAAATTTCCAGATGTCAAAATTGTTCTATTACATTCTTCTTATCCTTATACTCGTGAAGCTGGTTATCTTGTTTCTGTTTATAATAATGTTTATGTTGATTTTGGTCTTGTATTTCCCCTGCTATCTCCAGCTGGGCAATTAAACAATCTGAAACAATTGGTAGGTAATGTGCATGTGATGTGTTATATAATTTGAGATTTATTATATGGCATGTTGTACTAATATATTATAATATTTTAGATGGAAATTTGTCCAACTAACAAAATATTATTTAGCACAGGTAATATTCATTATTATAATTAATTATTGTTATTACCATTACTCCAATCTAATCTCAATTCAACATGCTCCAATATAAACTGATCTGATCCATTCTAATTTAAATTATAGATGGACATTTTTTACCAGAGACTTATTATTTGGCAACAGTTCAAACCAAAGAAATATTATCAAAAGTTTTGACAGAATTTGTTGATAGTGAATATTTGAATGTTGACGAAGCATTAAACATCATTAAAAATATTTTATTTGAAAATTCAAATAAATTATACAAATTAAATCTCACCCTAAAATTACCTGAATCTACCTTTTCTCCACTACAAGTTGTTTCTGCTGGCAAGCATGGTAGGCCATCACATTTTCAAAATATTTTGGAATATATTCTCAATATGTATTAACAACAATAGTAATGTTTATAATTACACATTTATCCACACTTGCACACACACACAATCTACATTGCAGCTAAATTGTTCACAGATCTAAAATCTAAAGGAGTGAAATTTGTGAGATTAGGGCTTATGGATTATTGCAGCCTTCATAGAATTCGCCTTGTACCAATTGATAGATTCTTTAATGATATAGTGAATAATGGGCTAAGTTGTGCTAAAGCTATACCTGCTTTTCCTTTCTTTATTGATGATGTGTCAGTTGGCAGTGGAATAAGTGTAACTGGCGAAATGTTATTATTTCCTGATCTTAACACAATTAAACAAATCCCATATCATCCTTCACATGCTCACTGCCATGTCTTTATGAAAGAAAAAGATGCTTCTAGAAGTGGCTTTCCTTTCTGCACAAGAACTTTACTAAAGAATGTTTTAGATAAGGCTGAAAAAGAACATGGATTAAAGTTTTTATGTGGGTTTGAAAATGAATTTATCTTGATTAAAGATAAATCATATCATCATCATCCTAAGAACAAGAACAAGAATGGAAGTGATGTTGATGGTAATGATAGAAATGAACCAAAACCAATAGATAAAACAACTTATTGTTTGGCATCATCATTTTCTGGTAGATCAGCAACAATTCTTGATGAGATTGTGGAAAGCATTCAAAACCAAGATATTTTAGTGGATCAATTTCATTCCGAGTCTGCTTTTGGTCAATTTGAAATAGTCACTGCTCCTTATGATCCATTAACAACAGTTGATAAATTAATTGTAACCAGACAAACAATCTATGATGTTGCAAAATTAAATGGTATCAGAGCCACTTTCCTACCTAAACCTTTCAAAGATCAAGGTTTGCTGCTAAATCCTATTATGAATTTATTGAATTTGCTATTTTGTATTTTTATTGATTTATATTTAATAATAATAATTAATTAAATTTTTTTCTTTTTCCAAAAATTAGCTGGAAGTGCTTCTCATTGCCATTTATCATTTAAAGAATTAAATAATAATAATAATAATAATTCTACTAATTGTGGCAATCACAACGATGATCTTTTGACCCCTATACAAGAGTTTTTTATTGCTGGTGTGATATCACATATTAAATCTTTGTGTGCAATTACTTTACCAACTAAAAGTTCCTACGATCGTATTACAGTTGAACATTCTTGGGCAGGGTCATGGATTTGCTGGGGTTATGAAAATCGGTAGTTATTTATATTTATACTTAATTTATTGATTTGGGGATATAAAATTTATTTTTTTTAAATCTAAAAAAAATAGTGAAGCACCAATTAGGATTTGTAAGAATTCAGTATCTGGTATAAATTTTGAATTTAAATTTGTTGATGCCACTTCAAATCCTTACTTGGCTGTTGCTGCAATAATTTCTGCTGGAATTGATGGAATTGTTAAAAAATTAGCTTTAAACACTAAACCAATCTCTAGTAAAATTTATATATATTTTTTTATTTTTATTTTTTTTTTTATTTTTTTATTTTAACAAAAATATAATTATTCCCATTTAACAATAAATATTGTAGTTGATCCTGGTCATTTGTCTGATGAAGAGCGCAAATCTAATGGAATTGAAAAATTACCAGTGACTTTAAAGGAATCTTTAGAGTTTTTAAAACAAGATAATGTGTTGAATAAATGTTTAGGGGAAAAAATTATTCAATGTTATGTGGCTGTCAAAGAAGTAATTATCTGATTAACAATAATAATTTTATTTATGTATTTATTTAATTATTAATTTAATTATTTATTATTTATTTAGAATGAATTGAAGTATTTTGAGAACAAAGCTAAAGATTTATACAGTGTTTTACTTGAAAAATATTAAAATGGATACTGTATTAGTATTACGAATTTCAAGCTCTAAGTTTTGTAATAAACTTACTTTAGAATTTTGTCATTGAACAACAATTAAAATTGATTTCACCACAAAATTTGGCATTACTGACAAACATTGTGCTGAATCAATTTTATTTCATTTATTACAGTCAGGAACTTTTACCATTAAATGGAAAACTTTTTTGAGAATGATGCTTAAATAGAGATATTAACTATTCAGCTGGTTTGGTTTGAAAAACTGCAGTTGGTGGTTCTGGGAACTTGTATATTAAATGTTCCTGGTTGTAAAGTTTATGTTAAAAATTCCCTGATGTTACCAGCTAAGGTATAGCATAATGGACATTTGATTTCATTGGCTAAATTTTGTGACGATCTCCTTTCCAGAAATCACACAAAAATTAAATTTTATTGAATAAATTTATGTATGGAAATTTAGTTTCGAATGGAATAAGTGAATTTCAAGTTGATGCAAGAATATATATACACTTTTAGATATAAAGTAATTATCATAAAATCATCATATTCATAGTATGTTTAAACAATAGATTTACAAAATGTTAATAACAATGATCTATTATTTATTATTATGTAGACATTCTTAGTATGATTAATTAGAGTAATGACATTTTTATGCTAATAACATTAATTAATCAAAATGTATATAAGTGACCTACCTTTAAAACAATTCTCTTGAATAAAAGAAAATAACAATTAAGACTCAAATAATTAAATCAATACCCAAAAGTATTTGTCAGTAAGATTGCCCATTCAATCTGATCTACATATACATGTAAAACAATTTTATTTGTTATCAATTGCTGTTTTAAAAGAATATTTTTTTTTAGAAACTAAATTACATATATATATATGTATAAATATACATTGATGACCATTGTAATAATTAAATATTATCAAACCTCTTGCTAGTACATTGTTCTTCCAAATATATACATATGCGTTGTGTGTTTAAATAACTTTTGCTAATAAATAAAATATTATCCAAGAATTTAGTATATCAAATTTATATAACAAAAACTTAATCATAATACAAAGAAATAAATAATAATATTTACAAATGAGAGTTTATCTTCCATTACCATGGATAGTCTTTCTCTCCATCTCTCATCAATAATCCACTATTATTACTGTTGTTGTTGTTTATTAACTATTTAAAAGATTTAATGAATGATTGAAATTAAATGCTTACTACTGGTTAGTTCTATCTAAACCACCATTTAATAATGATTGTTGCAATGAACAAGAAGGTATAACATTAATACGTGGTCAATATAAATGCTTGGAATTTTATAAAAGGGTGTCGTCTCAAATATAAAATCCTATATAATAATAAATAGATTAGAAAAGATATGGTTAAATATTAAAAAAGAAAATGATGACAGAGGCCTTAAACATTTGCTTCTAATAAAATTTTGACCATTCATGAATAATAATAAAAAAATAAAAAAATAAAGTTGCCAAGTTGACAGGTCCAAATAGATCACGGAAACACAATCTATTGAAATCCACCCGATCGACTTGATCAGGTTTCGCCGGAATGTAAAGAAAAGTTGAAAATATATATTAGTCACAGGTAGGGATGGGGGGTTTCATAAAACCGGTTTAATGAACGGTTTTTTGAACAACATTAACAGGAGAGACCGTCCTATATAAGGAATGAATTTTCACAATTGATTTCAAATTTTTTATACAGTTTAAAATAATTTTACAAGGGTATCATGTAGCCCATTCTTGCAATAAATCATGTGTAAATAATTACACAAACTTGAAGCTTTACAATTTGTTGTTATCATATCTTTTGAATCCCTTTGAATCCCACAACTTTCATAATACAATTTACTTAAGAAAAATAGCCTGAAATTGAACATTTCACAGAATGTAAAACCACTGAATCAGCTAAATTTCATCAATGAAAGGCAATAAATGGAAAGAAGCTGAGAACAACAACTTAGTGAAAGTAACATGTTGTTTTATGTAACATTTGTTA